CGTGAAAAACAATCTTAGACTAGCTCGAAACTGAGTGAATGAAAATAATAGTATTCACCGTCTCCCCGTCCAGAATATCTAGCCAGAATATTGTAATAAGCGAAACATATATGAAACAATCACATCTGCCAAAAATAAACGAAATTTTGGCTTTTGGAGCTAGCATGGAGCTAAGTAGATTCGAGCCCTATAGTAATGTGGATAAACACCAGGATGAGCAATAAACGAGTTCTTACCGGAGTTCAATAATACAAGACATGCAAAATATGCATTGAACGTCGATAGAATGAAAATCACGCTACTGCAAATTTAACAATTCAAATAATTTGTAAGACAAGCAGCAGATGTGAATTATTTGAGCTAATCTTAATTGGCCCTGACCTGAACACAGGGAATGATCAGCTGTGTCTCTATTAATCCATCGGTTTGTCTGGTCATACGAGGATGGAAACAATTGTAATACCGCCAATATTGTCCCATGTCCTTATTTGTTTAAATTAATTTATAAAGTCGAATTTATTTTGCCCACTGTAAACAATTAGTAACTAATTACTCAACTACATCGCAGAAATGGTTGTATCGAATAGCCGGGTCTCTTCAAAGTCACGTGATCAAATGGCAATCATATACTTTGTCGTCATCTTATAATCGATATTCCTCGTGCATTTTGTTCTAATGCCAACAAGAAGATTTACCAATATATTCAGTCAATATATTGTTCGCAGTGAAATGTAGTTGGCTAGAAGTGAGAGCCCCCACCACACATGGAGCATAAATGATCAACCATCGCCACCTGTTTCGCAATACCTTTCTTCGAGATCATAAGATGAATGACCTCGCCTGTTGAGTAGAGGAAGTTTATATGCTGTACCGCATTCACCATTTATCATATCTGCTGTGTAGCTCAACGTCAAAGCCATTGAAGGGTGTGCATATAGTAATTGATATCATTTCATTTCCATTTATTCCCTTCGGCCCAGTGGGCCATAAGGCCGCAACGACACTTTTCTATAACCCGGATGTTTGCCTCCATCTAGGTTTCGCACTTCTCTTACGGTTCATTAGTCTATGTTTCAGACGAAGTCCGAAATCGAATAATATTAACGTTTTGACCAATCACATTCTATCACAGACCATGTATGATGACAGCACACCAATTTTCCTTATCATTTAATTAGCTAATTGTACACCTTTGACATTCAATATAGGACGGGACTGTTTTCAGCTGTTGGCAGACCACATTTCTTTTTTAAGAGGAGTGCATCTAAGAGCAATGTGTAATATGCGTGCCTGGGGCATTCTTGGTACAAAACCAAGCCATCGTATCCCACGCTTACAAAACGTGAACCACATCACTTCAAAGGTAGTTCAAACTCACATAATTTGATTACACCGACCCAAACTATCCCAAACATTATACCAATGCACCCAATAGTCGAATAAACATTTGATATTGTTGGTCACAGCTCTGTAATTGTATGCAGAGCTTGATTGAACAAACAATTTTAGCCGTTTAACCAAAGGGTGAGTTACGCAATGCGCATGCGCTCCTAGTTACGTACTATATGTCAAAACGCAACCACAGTATTGCATGATGTGTATTCAAACAAATACTAATTTACAAACTGCAAAAACAACTGCAACTATATAAGATAATTTATTTTGTTTAAAATAACAACAATAATAATAACAAACAATGGTTACAGCATGTTCAATAACACTGTGTATTCGAAGCCTTTAATCTAAACCGATATAATATGAGGTTATTACGAAGATACCGAAAAGTATGCACGAAGACAGTACAGCGAGGGTATAGACCGACGCACAGGGGAGTAGATGCGACCGCGTACTGTCTGAGTGCATACCTCTCGGTATCCTCGTGATAACCTTTTTATTATACATCTTTTCCTCCCAAGGATACATGACAGGAATGCCAAAATACAAAAAGTTTAGAACAGATTGAGCAAACTTCTTTGTATGGGGTTCGGTCAAACCCTGGGGCAGCTATGTTTGTTTATTATTATTATTAGAAGACGCCGCTACGCGCGTAATCGTTTTATATTTGGAATTCGCATTTCTTAATATTGTAGGATGAAAATACCCCGTAAAATGCCGCAAAATGACGGCACGCTGTAACTTATGGCGTTACGGTGACAGATGTATAATAATTCGGAATACTCTATAAGTTTACATTAAATAGCAATGACCATGACCATGACCATGACCGTGGTAGCAGTACAATCCCATCTAAAGCACTCAGCCGGAAAACGGTATCATTGAATTGCATCCTGGGAGTCAACGCCAAAACAAAACCCTTATCCAAATATTACGAATAAGCATTGCACTTAAATACACATTCCAATTATCTTGAAGGGCAATGCAATGAGCATTTTTTTTTGTTAATTTAATCACGGTTACTAGATCTTCTAGTTTTAATTGAACTCCAGCCTTATATAGTTTGGTCAATTTTCAGTTCGAATTGGTTCTGAGGGTGGGGCTTAACGAATTGAGGGAGGGGGAGGGCCCCCATTTTATTTGTTTGTTTTTTTATTTCATTGATGGAACAAGAATCTGTAGTGATTTTAGTAAATTTTCCGTTTTTGTCCAAGTCATTCTTTGAAAATATACTCAAAATATTCAGCGTTACTCGAAAAAACATAGTTGATGGTTTACGTTGTTGGAGATGTCCTCTCTTTTATTATCTTCGCTATACACCACGTGTTCGACAAGGCACATTCTGTCAAGTTTGTGGTTGTCTTATACGACTTGTAGAACACCGCTTTTCAAAGGTTTACGCCGACAATGCTACCAGATGTGGAAAAGCTAGCCCGGCTTAATAGTTGACCTTACACATGCCAACCACTTACGTCAATCACCATAGCGACCATACTTTAGGTAACACATGTATTTTGAGTCCAACCTTGAACCAAGTGAACTGTATCTAACATGTGTCTATTATGACGCCGGTTACCATATAGTAATTGTGTAGGATGCCAACGCGGGTGTGTGCTATACGTAGTAATAGCGCAGTACCTACACAATTTGAACTAGTTAAAGGGCGGTGGTCGTCGAGCCACGCATGCGCGAGATATATGGGTCTCTTATAAACAAAGA